AATGGTTGTACCATTTTACAGTCCCACCAGCAGTGTATGAGAGTCCCAATCTCTCCACAACCTCGCCAGCATTTGTTATTTTCTGTCTTGTTGAATGCAAGAGTAACTTTTGTTCTTTTTACTTTTAAATAGTGATAGCAGAAAATTAGTTTGAGAACAGTGGAAACAGAGAACCCAACTGGGTTTTATTTTATTTTTGTCCTTTTACTAATATTTTTGAGTACATACTAAGTGTAAGGCACTGTTACTGTTTTTGAACTTGTTCAATTTTATCACACTTATATATATTACTGTGTTTCTAATTTATAATTTCATTTTGCCTCAGATTAAAAGAACCACACACCATGTCAAGATGTCAAAAGTTTCTCATCTGGCTTTCTGATATGTAAGAATTTGTTTCTCGATAGAGAATTACTGCTTTAGCTATAATTATTACATACTTTACTTATAATTTGAGGCACTTTTATGGCACAGTGGTTAAGTGCTTGACTGCTAACCGAAAGGTCAGTAGTTAGAACCCACTAGCTGTCTGTGGGGAGCTCTGGTGGCATAGTGCCTAAGGCATTTGACTGCTAACCAGAAGGCTGGCATTTCAAACCCACCAGCCACTCCTTGGAAGGAAGGTTGGGCAATCGTCTTCTGCAGTGATATTGCCTCAGAAGCCCAAGGAGGGGTTGCTATGAGTTGGATCCAACTTGATGGCAAACACAACAACAACTGCAGCTGTCTGTGGAAGAAAGATCTGCCAGTCTGCTTCTGGAAAGATTTAGTCCTGGAAAACCCTACAAGGCAGTTCTACTCATAGTCTTATAGGGTCACTATGAGTTGGAATCGACTCAGTGGCAGTGGGTTTGCTTTAAGGTTTTATAATTTAGTGTAAGTACTCCACATGTAATTTGTAAAAAGAACCTGTTGAGGACCTGCTATATAAATGGATTTGTGTGGATCATTTAGAACTAGCTTAATTACTAATCACAAAACCATGAGAGGAATCTTGAGAAATAATCTCATTCAACTTCATAAGAAAACTGATTTACCTGGGGTTATCTAGCTAGTTTGTAGCAGAGCTGGGCTGAGTACCCATCCCCTTCTATTTATTTGCTGTTTCCAGTGGCCCACAATCAAAAACATAAAAATATGTATAACAATACTGTATATAGAAAAGCTCATATTGCTTAATGAAGCATTTCTCAGAAAAATCTCCAGCAGAAAGTGAGATCTACCTGAAAGGGTGGGTACCCACTTAAAGAAAATGCTTTAATTTCTAAGACATGTTGAATTCATTTTTCAGTAAAAACCACAGAGTAATTGTGGTATGTTTTCCTTTAAAATGGAACCTTGAATATTTAAATATGTTAACAGTCCTAATTCACAGCCATTTATTACTTAGTGCCTCTTTCAGTAAGTCTTGGAAATTTAGTTACGTCTTTTCTCTGTACCATAGTTTATTCTTTTTGCTTCATTCCTGATTTAATTTCTAATTTTCAAGGACACATTTTTAATTGAGTGTTAAATGTGTACATTTTTTAGTTTCTAAGAGGTTTAAACAAATTAAAATAGAAATAATATGTACATATGTACAAGTTTTGAGATCAGTTAGTTTCATCTTTCTCAGGTGATTTGTATTCTAAAAGTTTACTTGTAAATTATTTGAAATGAAAAATGTTATTTTCCTGTATGTAGGTGTTCTGGTTACCTAGTGCCACTCTGACAGAAATGTACCACAAATGGGATGGCCTTAACAAACAGGAGTTTATTCTCTCATAGTTCGGGAGGCTAGAAGTCCAAGTTCAAAGTGCCAGGCTCTAGGGGCTGGATGAAAGCCCCTCAGCCTTGGGCTTCAGCTCTGCCTCCTGTTCCTCGTCCACTGGAGCTAGAGGCTTTTTTCTTCCCTTAGACAGCTGCTGGCTGTTGAGACTGACAAACCCAAGGTGGACAAGTAAAAAGGCACAGTCCCAATGTTACCAAACCACACAGCAGGCCGTTAATTTAAGTCCATTGTAAGTCCCAAGGTCGACAGAGCATGGCAGGCTGCTGAATAACGACATGGCTACAGGCAGGGTTCAAGCGTGCCATAGGCTAGAGACCATTCCCAAAGCTGCTGCTTATATACAGGAAGTGTACCACATCCCTAATTCAGCTACTCAGCTGCTTGTGGTAGATCCTACCATGGAGTTGATTGCCAGTCTCAACATGGGGAATAACTACCACCAGCTGCCCAGCCACTCAACCAGGCCCAACCAAGTAGACATACAGCTTTAACTACCACAGTAGGATAGTGTGATTAATGGACATTAAGTTTCAAAGATAGCTCACAAAAGACTCTTTCATCCATTATGTAACTGCACTGTGATGTTACAGAACTTGACCAGTGTTTGCTGTCTTCTTTTAACTTAGAAAGTTAGGAACGCATACTCCCCAGCTCGCTCCACTCGCATAGTGGCTCTAGCAAAGAGAGTCAGTTTCTTCTCCATTGAGCTGCTACAAAAAGAGTGGGTCTCCTGATGATCTGGTGGCAGCGAAGATTAGAAAGGAGGTTCTTGTTGCTGATCAGCAGCCAGCAATGAAGAGACATCTTGTAGTTAAGACATGAAGCTGCATCCATGGCAGCCATGTTTACTTGAGGCCATTGGTTGTATTGCTGAGGCATTGGGATTTAAATTCAATTAGAAATTACTAAACTCTAAATTGGCAATTAAGGAGCTCTTGTGTGCAGTGCCTAAGGCATTTGGCTGCTAACCAGAAGCTTGGAAGTTCAAACCCACCAGCCACTCCGCAGAAGGAAGATAGGGCAGTATACTTTCGTAAGGATTTACCACCTCAGAAACCCAGTGAGGGTCACTGTGAGTTGGAAATTGACTTGATGGCAGTGGGTTTGTTTTTTGTTTGGTAAATTGCCAATAAGGACGAAGAAGTACCTACATATGTTTTCCTTTTCTTTTTTAGATTGCTGATGCGGAAAGCTTTGTTTGACCACCTCACTGCCCGTGGCATTCAGGTAAGTTTCTAGAATGATGCATTTTGGAAACAGCATGGCTCAATATTCAACACAAGTTTAAAAGGCAGGAACTTTTGAATAACTTAATTTTGTCCATGACTCCAATTTTGCTTTCTTACTGACTCAGAAGTAAGGACAGTTGAGCTTTGCCTTATAGTGAATAAGTACAAGTTTAAAAGGTTATTTCTAATTGGGCTGAGATTATAATGGATAAATGCTATTATAAAAATAATTTTCTGTTTTAACATTTTTCTCAAACTTCTAATTTTCAGGTGTATATTTGGGTATTAAATGAAGAACAAGAATACAAAAGAGCATTTGATTTGGGAGCAACTGGAGTGATGACAGACTATCCAACAAAGCTGAAGGATTTTTTACGTAATTTTTCAGCATAGAAAAAGAGGTACTCAAAGACATCCAGAGAAAACATGAAAAGACCTAAGAAAAAAATCTTTCACCATCATTTTCCTAAGCCATTTCCAGAATGGTAAAGGTTTAATCAGTTAAGTTTTATTACCTCATTTTTAAGCCTGTCTGAGAATGTAGAAACTATATATTGTATATTTATTTTAAACAGTATTGCATATTTTACATTTGTAAATAGTTTATTTAGAAAGATAACTGGTTGTGCACTGTAAGTAGATTATTGGTCAAGATTTCTGTACATGATGCAGTATTCTATTATAAATAATTCTGAAATCAAAGATTATTGGGTAAATTTGGCATTGGAGTAAGACCAACTACTTTGTGAAACAAGATTATTGAAGGCCATTACAACTATTCTGAGTTGTCTCATTTTTTCTAGGTACATCTTATTTAAAAACAAAACAAAAAACAGTGCAAAGAAAGCTTAGAAATCAATGGTGTAGTTATCTGGGAAGTGATATGTTGTTAACAGAAGGCAGGCTCAAAGAAATAAGTGAAAGTACATTACTTGATCAGAAGTAAAGTCTGTAGACTGTAGACCAGATTAGATTTCTTGGTTGCTATTGTTAATGGGGATATTCTGTGTGAAATCTTTTTCAGTTGTGTAATAGTGCTACCATTTCTAAATATTTTGTTTGTAAACATTAAAATTGGACTTAACAATTGTAAATTAAGACAAGATCCAAATAGTCATATTTTTATGTTCCTCTAAAGAAATATAAAATTTCCTCTGCTGGCAATGACTAACTGTTGGGGCCTGTGTCTACATTTTAAATAACATCCTGAATCGTAATAATCATACCAAACTGATTTAAATGTGCATCATTTTTTCTAATATTTATGGTAAAAGCCACCTATTCCTAATCTTTATGTCTATATTTATTCTTCTGATTATTTGATGCAAATAGAATTTCCCAAAGCATTAGACATCCATCATTTTATTAGCTTTTCTGATGTGATTTCATGTAAATCTGTTTTTAATCTTTTAAAATAATTTTTATTATTTCAGATTGGGAATTAAGTATAATCTAGACTAGTAAATGCAGATTACATCACTCATTTGGAGTTTGCCAGCTAAACAGCTATGAAGGATGATCACACGCTCCCATTTTTCCCAGATGACATAAATAACATTTGGGGGGGTTTTTGTTTGTTTAAATGGAAATAAAGTTTTCTAAGAACAAGATAAGGGTTCTTGATTGTTTTCTTATAGTTGTAATACCAGATACACTTTACAGATTTTTATAAAACTTAATAAGGCAATAGATTGATCATATGAGTAATTGTACCTGAGATTTTGCTCTAGCTTAAATAAAAGAAAAGAAAATATGGAAACCTTTTTATCATAAGGGAGTTGCCTTTGGTAAACAAACGGTGTTGGCAGGTACTCCATTAAATCAGTCATTTTCATACTATGGTTATAGTTGCCAGAGATCATTTTGATCATCTTTGATAGAATTTTTCTTGATATTTCTTTGCAAGTTTTTCTTTGTGATTCATATATTTTGGGTCAAGCTGTAAAAGAATGGTAAATCTTTACCTAGAATGGTAAAGATGTTTAGAAAGTCCTATTAAAAAAGTATGATTATTTTACAGGCAAAACCAAAAAACTCACTGCCATCGAGTCGATTCTGACTCATAGCAACCCGCTTTGGGTTTCTAAGGTGGTAAATCTTTATGGAAGTAGATTGCCCAGTCTTCCTCACACAGGGTGGCTGGTGGGTTTGAACCACCAACCTTCTGGTTAGTAGTCAAATGCCTTAGGCACTATGCCACCAGAGCTCTTTATTTGATAGGCAAAGTGACTTGAATTCACTAATAAAAGTATAGTACCTATAACAAGGGTGTTGATACTCATCAGATAACATCTGGAATACTGCTTTACTGATTAGGTGTCATATTTTTAAATTTTTATTGTGATTTACGTGAAAATTTACAGAACAAATTCATTTTCCATACAGCAGCTTGTCATATGGACACATTTTGTCTCATGACATTGACTGCAGTTCCCCACAGCATATCAGCTCTCTTCCCACTTCCTCCCTGTAGTTATCTCTTCTCTGTGTCCTTCCCTCCCATGCATTCCTACCCTTCACACTGTCTTTCTGTGCAAACACTGCTCTTCTGTTCTCCCATGATTGATCACTCCAAGGAGTATATCTACCTGATGTAAATGTTCACCCCACATGCCCATCTGTTGTTTGGCTGGAAGCCACAGGAGTGAGTTCAGTTCCAGACCTGAAGGGTGGCTAGGGGCTGGAGTCTCAGGGGTCTCACCAGGCTCTGTAAGACCAGCAAACCTGATCTTTTTTATTTTATGATTTTGAGTTTTGTTCTACGCTGTTCTCCCACTCTATCCAGCATCTCCTGCGACAATCCCCTCTCTGAGTGGTTGACAGTGGTAGCTGGGCACCATCTAGTTCTTCTGGTCTCTTAGTCATAGAGGCTGAGGATTGCGTGGTCTGCCAGTGTTTAGGACTAATTGGTTCCATGCATCTTCAATTTTCTTCATTCTTTGCTCTGGATGAGGAGAGACCCATTGTTGCATCTAGATGGCCACTTGCAAACTTTTAAGACCCCAGTCACTACCTACCAATGTTTTTGTGTAATATTTTATGCCAATTGAGCTTGATGTCCCCTGCAACCATGGTCCTGAGCCCGCAGGTTCAACTATTCACTTCCTCAGGGTAGGTGGCTATGGCCAAGAAGGCACCACAACCTTGTCCCTTGTCAGCTCTACTATACACCCAGACATTCTTACAACACATACAAATACACATGTAGAAACATTGTCTGTTAACCCTATACATGGTCATGGGCACACTCTCCCCTGCCTTTACATACATGATCATTCAGCCTGTCTACCCATCTATCCACCTGTAGATCAATGCTTGCCATCACTGACAACACAGTAATTTCAGGGCATCATATTTTAAATAAATATTTTGCATCTTAAGATGGATATGACTAGGCATGGTTAACAGCATGGTGGGGAAGTGATCAAAGGTGTGATTAGACTCTTTCGGTGGGGTGAAGCTGGTGCTAGATTTGATGGACCCAGCTATAGGTCTAGTCCAGCCTGCCAGTAGTATCCCAAGTATGTGGCAATGGACAACAGTTGGCAGGTAATTCAGCAAGCAGTTGACATTATTATGAGTTTTAACATGAGATACTGAGAGTATCTCTGTAGGACTAAGGTCTTTGGTTACTGTGGTAGTTATGCTTGTGTGTCAACTTGGCTGGGCCTGGTTGAGTGGCTGGACAGCTGGTGGTAGTTATTCCCCCTAATGAGACTGGCAATCAACTCCATGGTGGGATCTACCGCAAGCAGCTGAGTAGCTGCCTTTGGGCTATGGTCTGCTTACTGTATATAAGGAAAAGCCTTGGGAATGGTCTCTACCCTATGACACGCTTGGACCCTGCATATAGCTGTGCCATTGCTCAGCAGCCTGCTATGCTCCGCCGACCTTGGGACTTACAATGGACTTAAGTTAATGGCCTGCCGTGTGGTCTGGTAACATCGGGACTGTGTCATTTTATTTGTCAACCTTGGGCTTCTCAGCCTCGGCAGCCAGCAGCTGTCTGAGTGAAGAAACACCTCTAGCTTCAGTGGGCTGGGAGCTGGAGGCAGAGCTGAAGCCCAAGGCTGAGGGGCTTTCACCCAGCCCGTAGAGCCTGGCACTATGAACTTGGATTTAAAGCCTCCAAATTGTGAGAATAAACTCCTGTTTGTTAAGGCCATCCCATTTGTGGTATATTCCTGTCAGAGCAGCACTAGGTAACCAGAACAGTTACTAAAGCAAAACAGGACACAGTATAAGAACTAGCACCCAGACTTGGAAAGAAGCTCATTTAACAGAACTGAGAACAGAGTGATACACTTCTGATTACAGGAGTAAATTGGTACTGAGTCCTAGAGCTGCTTAAACCTCTCATTTCTGGCCAGGACTGGTTCTAGAGATTGAAGTGGGGCTATAGCTGCGCTTGGGCATCTAGTCACAGCTGTGGATAAAGAATGGTTGCAAATGATTGAGAAAAGTACAGAACATAAAACATAAATCATAATGTGGTCCAGTATGGGAAATCATTAACATAGGATATAATGTGATTGATTTTACATAGAATTGTACAACATGGTGATCTTGGAAAAGATATATTAAAAAAAAAGAAAAATTAGTCAAGTGAGATCTGCCATAGATAAGAGAGTGCCAGTTGAAGGAAGGCCACAAATATGAGGATATTCTTATATATGTAATTGTGATTTGGGTGAAAGATTATAGAGCAAATTCATTTTCCATTCACCACTTCATATACATTTTCTTTTGTGACATTCACTGCAATCCCCATAATCTAACAGCTCTCTTCCCACTTCCTCCCTGTGGTTACTTTTTCCCTGTGTCCTTCTTTTCTATGTATTCCCACCCTCTGAGGTATTTCCCTCCACAAATGCTGCCCTTCCCATGTCCCATGGTTGGTTGGTCTACAAAGTGTACCTACCTGTTAAATTGTTCTCTTCGTAGGCCCGTCTGTGGTTTGGCTAGAACTTAAGCCATGAAAGTGAGTTCAATTATAGGTCCAAAGGGTGACTAGGGACCACAGTCTCAAGGGTTTCACCAGTCTATTGTTGCTGGGGTGAGATATCTCATTGTTTTGATTTGCATCTCTCCAATGGCTAATGATCACAGGCATTTCTTCATGTGTTTATTGGCCACCTGAATATCTTCTTTGTTGAAGTGTCTGTTCATGTCTTCTGCTCATTTTTTAATTGTATTGTTTCTCTTTTTGATGTTGATATGTTAGAGTTTTCTATAAATTTTAGAGATTGGTCGAATATGTCTTTGTCAAATATGTTTTCCCATTCTGTATTTTCTCTTTTCACTTTTTTGGAGAAGTTTTTTGATGCACATAAAAATTTAATTTCCAGCAGATTCTAGTCATCTAGTTTATTTTGTGCTGTTTGTGCATTTTT